GGTTGAGCGTGCTCGGGGTGTCCGGCACAGCCGGCATCCCCCATCCCGGATTCCATCCGCACAAGGACGCCAAGAACAGTAACCAAAATAATAAGAAAAAAAAGAAGAAGCTGTTAGCGCTAACCAAGAACTTCAGAAAAATACGCTTATAAGAATTGAGTTCTCACTCTGTTCACATATATTCACTCGTGTTCAACCTGGTAGCAAAATAGCGTCAAGTGTGTTTGCTGAACAAACAATAATCTTGAAGACACTCACACCCGTTGCTGCCATGACATATTGAAGAATTAAGTATTTAATTTGTTGTTCAATTTTTTAGAGCATGTGGTAACTTTGTTTGCCTCTATTTTTTTAATGAATAGTATTATAGATAAGATTAATTGTTTGTAAATTGTTGAAGGTGGCAGAAGTACTGGGTAACGGATGCCAGAAGTAGCATACTAAAGAGGTTAGGTAAACGGAAAAAGAGGAAAAAAGGGGCAGAAATAAGATCCCGCCAGCTGTGAATCGAACACCGGACATCCCCGGGGTAGGAAGGACGGATGTGTTCTGAGGGATGTGTGAACAAGCAGTAGCGAGTGCGCGTCGCATAGGGCGGCAGGCCTGTATAAGCTAATCGACATAAATTAGATTAAAAAGATACGTCACATGAGCTGTTACTCGTGCTAGGGCGGCTTACACAACATACACTTTATTTATGTTAAATAACTACAGATTCAAGATGCTCGGTATTGCTCCGGCGTCGAAACTTTTGCCCGAGCTTCTGGAGAGCTGATGGCGGAAATTAATTCTAGCATGAGTAAGAGATCGCGGATCCGCAGTTTCATTACAGCGGGATCCAGAAAAATGGCAAGAGGCGGCGCCGAACCATGGCATGCGGAGCGGCGGGCGCGGCTATCTGGCTTAGAATGGCAAATCAATTAACAGAGCGAACGAAAGGTACGCGAAGTTTCACGTCCCAGGAGTGTCTAAGTATAGTTGGTTGTTGGCGGATGTGACGGCTGATTCACTAGACGCGTCCACGAAGTCGATGCTAACTGTGTGGTGCAGGTGAGACATAGGGCAGGAGTGTATTGCACTTTAGTGCCAGAATTCTTCTGGCGAAAAAAGCCTAAAAAAAAAGGCATTTTCTAGAGACGATATAGTGCATACGGTAAACAATTGCGAGGCCTTTACCTGTAGTATGCCTGCCTCTTAGCGGATTAGGCCTGCTGCGGCCGTTTATGGCATTATTTACACATTACAGCCAATAGATTCATCATCGTAACGTGATGGTTAATGCTAATACGCACCGCGCATTCTAATTGAATGAACGTACATTTTTTATAAATTGTTAGTTAACTTTTTAACTTTTTAAAATTTTTGTTTCTGCCAGAACAACCTCCCAGACGTGCTGATTCTTAAATATCTTTAGTTTTTCTCTAGGCTGCGGAGTTCTCTAGTTATGCGAGTACGGACTAATTCGGCTGAACAACTTTATATATATAGATTTTCCTCTAGGCTGCGGAGTTCTCTAGTTATGCGAGTACGGACTAATTCGGCTGAACAACTTTATATATATAGAAGCTTTCTTGAGATTTTGATGACCACCGAAATCAGCCGTGAAATAACGCCACGTACATGCGGTGACCGGAACAGACCCGTTAGACAAGATTCCATTGTCTTGGCACTCCGCCGGAATTATATGTAAATAATATTATGTTGAGAAACAGTCAGAATTCCCTTGTCAACTTTTCCGACTCTGAATTAAAACGTACAAACGTTTCTAATTTTTAGGGCAGGCCAATATAAGATAATACATTTTTTCAAGTTTAGAATGACCTCTAGCAACAATTGCATGAACTTTCCACTATGGCAACGATATAGCTGACATACGCGATCAAAGCTGTCTATCATGACTCAAGCTTTACTATTTTAGCTGTTAAACAGGCTTGAGTTGAGAATAATCAGCTAGGCAAATAGAAATCTAGGCAGCCTGCGAATGTTCGTAAGATGTTTATAGATGAGTTAGGAAATAATCAGTATGTAATCATCCAGCGATTTCTACTCTACGTTGATAGGTACACGCCGGCACTGGACTCTATTAAAACGACTATCAACAGCGTACACTACTGTGTGTTGTTGTCCATGTATTCTCTTGGACGAGTGAAGTCAAAGTGAAGCGTTACTTCACATGGAGATATCAGTAACAATGGCTACATCACATTAAATAGGATCTTACACAGCTCGTTTAAAAAGATGAATTTTGAAGATAGTGTTAGTGCTCACTGGGTCGCCCCAAACACTGACACACACACACACACACACACACACACACACACACACACACACACACACACACACACACACACACACACACACACACAAGTAGGCCTCATTTTACGCCAGGGTTAGGTTCCAGCAAAAATGTTGTAAAATGAAAAGTTGTAAAATAAGACAAAACATTTGACCAAATTCTACGATATTCTACCTGTGACAGGCCTTGCTGCAATTTGTTACTGGATTGCGATTATTTTGTGATTTTCAACAATTTTTTAGGTAATTTTGAAAACGTCGTTAATGTGAAGTGGTAAAATGAAGCGTCGTAAAACAGGGCCTACTTGTATATGTGCTATATATACATACATGTTTATGTATATCTATGCTTAAATTTACCAAGTAGGAGGTAAGAGTTCACACTATAATTATAGGTAAACCTAGGTATCTTTAGGTATCTTAAATAGGTATCTACATGCATTTTCAGAAAATAATACAAGACGTAATTAGAACAGAATGCAGCCAGAGGCTGCAAAAGTTCAGAGCTCAGACGCCAAGAAGCGTCCAGGCATTACTGCCCTCAACAGGGCTCCTCCTACTAGCAGATGACATTGTAGGCATTTTTTTCATAATTGTACCAACAGCTATATTATAATATAACATGTGATTCTAGCATTAAAATGAAAGTAAAGTTGATTTTGTATTCAATACTTCTTTAAGACTTTTTAATGGTTGGAAACTTAAAATTTCCATATTTTATCAGTTAAATTTGGGTGAGATATTGGAGTACCATATTTCCCATCTCATAAGATGCACTTTTTTTCTGAAAAATGCCCTCAAAAAGCAACATGCATCTTACCACCCAAAGATTCCCAATTCTGTTTCCCAAAAAGACCTAGCTAATTATATTGTGCGTGTTACCACTTCTATCGTCTTATGAGACGGTAAATATGGTATATTAAATGTATTTCTAAGTCTCTCTATCATTACAGATGCCTGAAACCTACACATTTATGAAGCAGCATATTGTGGGGCGCAACGTGCCAAACAAGATGTTTGATTTAGTTCTGTGCCCAGAGGTAATTTACCTTAAATAATGCAGCTCTCTTTTTCCTAATTATCCTAAACTTTGGGCTGCTCATCCACTACATGTATAGATACCACAAGTATAAACGTGAGTGTTTTTACTTGCCATTGTGCTTTAATCTCAGTGATGTTATTTTGTTTTGAAATTCTTTTTTATAATTATCTTTTTTAGATTCTCGTCAGAATAGTGATAAAGACAGAAAACCTCAACCGGTTGGAGGCAGACCTACTTGTGCACAAGGCTGGCTCAACTGCACGTAAAATCTCAAAAGCAACATATTAGGCAAATCAATCACAGTTATATTTCTGCGCTCCTTCCTCCCGTATGCTGTGAGGGCCGAGCTGTAGATAGTGTCACGAAGTTGAAGCCACTTGGAATGGACGGTGACGTCACTGGTTGAGAGGGTCTCCATTGCCGTTTGGAAAGTGTCCATGAACCTTTGGATTCTTTCAGGGTTGTTGGTGCAGCAGGCGTTAATGCGTGGACGGCCTTTGGTTTTGACGTCGTGAATATTCTTAGGCGACACCCTCACTTTGCTTGCAACAAGGGATGTGTGTGTGTGTGTGTGTGTGTGTGTGTGTGTGTGTGTGTGTGTGTGTGTGTGTGTGTGTGTGTGCGTGTGTGTGTGTGTGATGTGCGCAAGCAGACACTAGTTAACTTACGGCAGGTATTTAATCGTGATAGAGATTGCGTACATCACTCGAATAAACCATTATCCCGCGTCGCAGACCGATCACAAACTCTTATAATAAAGATCCTTCACCGAACAGTGAATATACTATACTATACTCAGTATACTGTATTAAGTACTATAGTAAATATATCTATAATGCTGGGGCTATATCGCCTCTAATGCCTGTATTTCCAGTTGGCAGTCGACGTACAGTAACGTTGACAACACGCTTCAACATATAATCGTTACAATATAAAGCAACAGTTTACAGTGTACCATGCCACAATGTCAACTAGCGTAAAAGGTTTTTGGCAATTATATTCACTATTAGTATGTGGTGTCTTTTTCTTCGTCACTTTCTTATAATGTTAGCTGTTTAGCGGTTGCGATCGGCTTACGGCCTGTGAAGAGAACTGCGCTATTCATTCCGATCGGTATATAAGTCAATTTCCTTCTTCCGGCCTGTTTCCGTCTCTCATCTCTCTATCTCTATCTATCTCTCTCTCTCTCTCTCTCTCTCTCTCTCTCTCTCTCTCTCTCCCTGTCTCTCTCGAACAGGTGTTTTCACTAACAATGTCCATCTCTTCCTATATTTCTCTCGCACTCCTGTTTCTCATGGTCGCTTAACTTCTTCGTCTTCTTTCACCCTCTGTTTCCCACACACGTTCTCTCAATACCTCTCTCACTCTCAATCTCTTTCTCCAGCCCCATCCATTCTCCCCTTTTTCTCCATTTACTGTCATTGATTTGATCAGGTGGCTGTCGTCTCGTTTCACGCTAATTTAATATATCTGCGACGCTTGTATGTTGATATTAGCATGAGTGCAAACTAGACCGCGCTCACCTCATGTGGTGGGCAATCTGTGAATGTATTTCTGATAATCCATCGTACTAGCGGGCGTAGCAAGTTATTAGCTACCGATTTCGATTTGTATAACTGGTCCTAACATCTAAGCGCTTCTGACAAACCGGATCATTATATGAAGCAAAATGGTGGCGTGTTGAGAAAAGTCAATGCATTTATCTTCAACAGAGAAGGAATTAGAAATTTTAAACGGCAATACTGCGTATAGCGTACTGTCGAGCGGTAAAGTACGAAAGCCCAGAAGGCTCATGCGAAATGCGAAATGCGAAATGCGAGATGCGAGATGCGAAATGCGAGATGCGAGATGCGAAATGCGAGATGCGAAATGCGAAATGCGAAATGCGAGATGCGAAATGCGAAATGCGAGATGTGAAATGTAAACTGGGACTTTATGTACAGCGAATCAGCACTTAGCTTTCATCATGTTTACAAGGTGACCAATGAAATACCGTTTGACATTCAATGCTTGGGTCTTCGAGGCAAATAAGGGACGTTCAAGTGGCGTTCAAGTTGGTAAACAAACTACGTCATTTTGGTGCATGCGCAGTTTCTGATTGACTCCAGTCTTAAATATTATTCGATGACCTGGGTCATCGCACCAAACGCAGGACCTAAGCTAGGCAATTTTGTAAACGAATTGGCTGCTTAAGGCAGCATGCAACAGAGCCGGGAAAGCAGCGCCACGTACACGCGGGTACACGCGGGTACACGCACGTACACCGCAGGTACACGCACGGTAACGCACTGCCATCACACGTACACGCACGTACACCGCAGGTTAGCACGCAGCGTACACGACGTGCACGGGCGGGGTAACGCACGTACACGCACGTACAACGCACGTACACAGCCGTGTACACGCGGTACCACGCACGTACACGCGGGTACACGCACGTAAAACAGCGCGGGACACGCGCCGGTACAGCGCACGTACAGCGTAGGTACACGCGGGTTATCACCCAAGACACCATACACGCGGGTACACCGCGGATACACGCACGTACACGTAGGTACACGCACACGTACACAGCAGGTACACGCACGGTGCAGACGCGGTACACGCACGTACACGCACGTGCACGCGGGTACACGGCACACGTGCACAGCGCCGTACACGCACGTAACACGCGGGTACACGCGCGGTACACGCACGTACACGCACGTACACGCAGATACACGCCACGTACACGCGGGTACACGCACGTGACACGCAGATACACGAGATACACCACGTTTTACGGGGCCGCGTACACGACGTACACGCGGGAACGTGTGCGGGCTACGGCGTGCACTGCGTGTAACGTGCGTGTACCCGCCGTGTAGCGTGCGTCGTATCTGCGTGTACGTGCGTGTACGTGCTGTGTACACCGCGTGTACCCCGCGTGCTACGCTGCGTGTACCGCGTGCACGTTGCGTGTACGTGCGTGTGAACGTGCGTGTACGTACGTGTACCCGCCGCGTGTACGTGCGGTATCTGCGTGTTACCGTGCGCTGCTACCCGCGGTGTACGCGCCTGTTCCCGCGTGTACGCGCGGTGTTCCCGCGTGCTACGTCGTGTACGTGCGTGCTATGCCCCGTGCCAGTGCGTGTACGTGGTGTACGTCGTGTACCTGCGTGTACGTGCGTGTACCCGCGTTGTACCCCTGCGTGTACGTGCGTGCTACCCGCGTGCTACGCCGCGTGTACGTGCGTGTACCCCCTCTGTGCGTGCCTGCCTGAGCAGGCCATTGTTTACCACCTGCCCTAGCTTAGACCGGTCGTTCTCGTGCGACTGACCCAGTTCATGAATCACATATTTAAGACTGGCTGTCAACCAGAAACTTGCGAATGCGCCAAAATGACGTTAGTTTTGTTTTACCATACTTGAACGCCGTCCAACTTGAACGCCTTATTTGCCTCGAGAACCCATAGCATCTTGAATGTCAAGACGGTATTTCATTGGTCCACCTTGTAAACATGATGAGAAGCTAAGTGCTGATTCGCTGTACATAAAGTCCGCAGATTTACATTTTCACAATCTCCCGCATTTTCGCATTTCGCATTTCGCAATCTCGCATTTTCGGCATTTCGCCATACTTTCGCATTTCACATCTCTGCAATTTTGCATTCTCGCATTCGAATGAGCCTTCTGCGCTTCGTAGTAAAGCGCTGCTTTTGTACTTGGCAATATGTGGCCACGAACAAAACACAATCGATTGCCGTACAAGCCTCTTTCTTTGCACTCGGAGGCATTTCATATGCAACAAGCTACCTTCCGAAAATTACTCATAGCGCGGTACCATACAAATATCATCATATATCCATTAATCATACACGAATGGCTTTGCTTCTTTCTTCGGAGGATAGATGGTTTGCTGCTTACGTAGGTTTTCGCCCCTGCACAGTGCACAGGCTGAATCGATGTGTGTAAGCGCTGCGCTGACCGCAGATGTCTGCATCCACTTATAGCACGAATGTAGAATTGATGGATGAGATTTAAGCGCCATCGCCTCGTTCACGCGAAAATTTCGTTTCATATGGCTACGCTTGATAGTCATTCACCAGCCAATACGTCATGCGGACATCATCATATAAACAATCCACATCATCATCATATACATCATCATCATCATCATCATCATCATCATAAGCAGCAGCAGCAGCAGAAATAGAATAAGAATTGTAATATCTTAAATAGATAAGCACACACACGTACACACACCTAGGCCTACATACACACACGCGCGCGCACGCGCACACACACACACCACGCACACACGCACACACACGCACACACACACACACACACACACACACACACACACACACACACACACACACACCACACACACACACACACATACATACGCACACACACACACACACACACACACACACACACCACACACACACACACACACACCACACATACACGCACACACACACACACACGCATGCGCACATATAACATATTATCGTGCTAATACAGAGAGGGAAAGTCAGTTCAGAATTAGAAATACTGAGCGGTAGACCAAGGAACACTATTCCCAGCTGGTAAGGGTGACACCGGAAATGGCCCGACTCCGGTCAAGGTTCCCGAAGGGGGTGGTGTAACACGAATCGGGGTGTGAACGCATACTGCCTATATGGAGTGAAGGGCTATGTAAAATAA